GTATCATACGACGTGACTGCCTTATTTACAAATGTACCAGTGATGGAAACAATAGATATCATTTGTAAACAAACAGATCTATCGCCATTACCGGAGTCAGAGATGAAACGACTACTAATTCTTTGCACAGAAGACATCCAATTTAGATTCAATAACCAATTCTACCGACAAATCGATGGGGTCGCCATGGGTTCACCTCTAGGACCCATTCTAGCAGACATCTTCATAGGCTACCTCGAACAGACGCGACTGAGTGACGCTATCAATGAAACAACATAGTACCGTCGATACGTTGATGATACTTTTGTTGTTTGTAACGACATGAGTCAAGCATCCGTATTATTTGACCGCCTAAATGAGGTCCACCCAAACATTAAATTCACCATGGAATACGAACACAACGATGAGTTCAATTTCCTAGATCTAAATGTAAAAAGAAGAGACGATGGAACGGTCGAAAAGTCCATCTACAGAAAAGAAACTTGGACCGGACAATACCTTCACTACAACAGCTTCTGCCCTATGAGCTATAAGCGAGGATTAGTAAGGACATTGTACGACAGGGCTAGGAAGTTATGTTCGCCCAACAAGATAGAAGAAGAATTAAGCTTTGTTGAAAAATGCCTTAAGGAAAACGGGTATCCAAAAGGATTTATCCTAAAGTACAGCAAAGAAAGAGATGAGAAAGAGAAGTATCCAACAGTTGAAAAGAAGAAAGTGTTCCTTTGCCTCCCATACAAAGGAGAAACAGTATCTCAAAAGATTGAAAAAAGGATGAAAGGAGCAATCAAGAGATGCTTCCCTGCAGCCAATCTAGTGACACTATACAGTACTACATGCTCTATAAGCCAATCGAAACTGGATAAGTACCCTGCTGATGTTACCTCCAACTGCATTTATAAATTTACGTGCACCTGCGACAGCAAGTACATCAGAAGGACAGAAAGAAGGGCTTCTATCCGGTTTTCAGAGCATATTCCGAGAAACTTATGCTTAAAAGGAAGCAAATATTTACAAAGTGCAATTACCAGACACCTTGTGGATACGGGCCATTTTGTTGAGATTTCCAAATCCTTCAAAATATTAAACATACAAAGGACAGCGAATCTACTACGATTTGCTGAAGTTATTGCAATCAGACATCTCAGACCAAACTTATGCACACAGAAAGAGAGTGTAGTCAATCTCTCACTCCCTTGGTAACCATATCACTTTCATTACACTGATTACTCATAGACACTAGTGAGTTCAACTGACTAAGCAAGTTTTCAAATTGATGAACTTTGACCTTGTTGAGTTGCCATGTTGACACTGTTTATTAGATTTTTCTGTCTTCTCTCACGCCCCCGTTTTACTTCCCTTTTTATAGTTTGATAGTATATAAATTGATGGTAAATTAAACTACAAAAATTTTAATCCTTATATTCCGGATGCGTTTATCTTATAATGCTTTCTGTATTACCTTTCAAACAATGAAGTATGAAATGTTATTATTTATAACCATTGTAATTTCAGGTAGTTTGCAGCTGATGAGAACCTATGAAATAGAATGATATCATTTATACTGCAAATCTGGTCTTTCTTTCTCTATCATGCATTTGTTCCTCCACTTTAGACATGAATATGTCTGCTAATAGAGAAACGGCTTAATTCGGCGTATGAACTCTGGTGTGTACTTTTTGACCTGATTCATGATAGTGCCTATTGATTTCTTAATTACCTCCTATGGTCCTGTTTTGGACCTTATACGGCGAATTAAGTATCTTCGTGACCGTCATAAGACTGCTTTTGCTATACCTACCGGGTCATATGAATTTCTGACCATGCCCTTCGGCTTAAGTAATGCACCAACAACATTCCAAAGGTTAGTGCATACGGTACTTAAGGGACTGGTCCCAAAAGTTTGCATGGTATATTTAGACGATATCGTAGTGTTCAGTCACACTATTGAAGAACACCTCCAAAGATTGAGCATGGTTTTGGGACGTTTGAAAGAGATAGGACTCAAGGTGCAGCCTACTAAATATTGCCTATTGAGGACGGAAGTCACATTCCTGAGGCAAGTCGGCGTTCATAGCGACCCAGAGAAAGTTACAGCAGTGAAAGAGTGGCCCGTACCAAAGTCGACAAATGAGTTACAGTTTTCTGGGGTTAACTTCTTATTACCGCCGTTTTGTGAGAAACTATTCGGAAATTGCTAGCCCTTTGACAAAGTTGACCAGCAAAAATATTCCTTTCGTATGGACAGAGGATTGTGACCGTGCTTTTCAGCAATTGGAAGATTCTTTATGCTCGGCACCCACTTTAGCAATCCCAGATACGTCCCCAACAACCCGTAAGTATATCTTGGACACGGACGCTAGTCAAACAGCCATGGGAGCGTATTATCTCAGGTTAGTGAAGACGGGAAAGAACATATTATAGAATATGGCAGCCGCACACTGAGCCATGCAGGAAAGAACTACTGCATTACTAGGAAAGAGATGTTGGTTGCTGTTACCTTCATTCGTAAGTATCTACCTGGTAAACCGTTTATGCTGAGGACGGATCACAAAGCCCTTCAGTGGTTGCAAAACTTCAAGGACCCTGATGGCCAGACCGCTAGATGGCAGGAATATCTCCAGGAATACGATTTTGAATGTGTGCACTGTCCTGGGAAGTGGCACGGCAATGCAGATTCGTTATCCAGATGTTGCTTCAGCCCATATAGACACTGACCGTCGTGAAAGAAAATTGGTATTTGTGCTATTTCGTTGGCAGGATTTATTAGGGCAGATATCCAAGCTACAAGCGAAGAGACTGTGCCTTTATATCAAGCTCTCTTTCGTAGGAGACTGGAAGACTACCTGAAGCTGATGTAATAGGGAGGAGCTGGGAGACGAGGTGTCAATGGGCCCTATGGGACCAGCTAGTGATTGTGAATGGTATTTTGTGTCCGACCTCGTCTCAATTACTTGAAAAGAGTTGTAGTCCCTCAGTCATTCGTAACAGCGAAGAGGTACATTATGACTTGGAACACACCGGAATTAACAAAATGCTGCAAGCAGTCACCCAACGTAATTGGTAGCGTCACCAACGGTGCGACGTCCGAGACTTTGTCCAGTGGTGTACAGCATATGGTAAGGTAAAGAACCCACAGATAAAATCTAGAGCGCCACTTATTAATATGAAGGCTGGATATCCCAACAAGTAGTCGGCATAGATATCATGAGATCATTACGAGAGACCACACGTAGGAACAAATACATCTCAGTCATGGTCGATTATTTTGCTAAATGGTGTGAGACTGTGCCCCTTGACCGAACTGATGCTTCTATAGTAGCCAAAGCTATGTTCGATTGTTGGATTGTCTGTTGGGGTGCACCAGAGGAACTGCATTCTGATCAAGGGACAAACTTCGGAAGCGTCTTTATCAGAGAGCTGCGTCACCTATTTTTAATTAGGAAGCCGAAGACCACAGCATAGCATCCCGAAGGCAATGGGTTAGTAGAGCCCACCAACAGGACTTTGAAGGTATTGCTGCGATTATTCTTAGAAAGGGAAGAATAATCGGCGTGGGACACCCTGTTACCACGGTTCTTATTGGCATACCGAGGAAGTACACACATGTCGACGGGGAAGACGCCACAAATGTTTTGAACTGGCCGTGAGTTACGTCTACCAAGTGATGCATTGGTTATGCCCATATGGGATGATCCATTGACCGCATCAAAATTGGTAATGAAATTGCGAGAAGACATAGTCAGGTACCATAGTTATGCACGCGAGGAACTCGAAAGAGCACAGCGACGGCAGTAATATTACTATAAGAAGCAGTGGGGAACACCATTTAATACAGGTGATAAAGTAAGGCTGCGTTAACCAGGAACTGACAACTGATGTCGAAATAAAGCCCAAGCACAGTGGCCTTGCCCATATGTGGTGTACCACAAAATAACCTACAATACATATAAAATACAAGACGGCAACAACAATATGGAAAGAATGATAGTGCATTTCAACCGGTTGAAACGGTTCAAACAAAGCAGACAGGCGCCTAGGGCCAATTCTCCTTCCATTAGTAGTCATAATAATCATGTCTCGTTCTTTTGCAGGGATGACGCGACAGAGGGGAGAACGTAAGGCAGAGTCGCTGAAGACAGCTGTTTGGAAGCGAGGGGGTCCTGTAGTAGTTCGAATTCTGGCAAAGGAGTTAGTTCAAAAACCAGTGGCCGCCGAACAGTGATAGCCTACCTCTTTTATGTGTATAACTCTTGTCTTTCTCCTATTGAGATGGCTGTTATTTATAAAGTGTTTCAACGACATCTGCGTCCTGCTCTTCATTGATATGTTGTCCCAGCGTGCTTGATATATCATTGTGTGCTGTCTTTTATACTATTTTTAAAAATACCACTCAATTTCAGACCCAAATGGTTCTGTTGAATTATTTGCTTTTGTATAGTGTGACCTGCTTATTCGTACAATCAACTGCATGAGTTATACACAAAAAATAACAGAAACAGAGATATCTCCTCTTATGATTTATTGAGTCAATGAATTAATATGAACAGGATCTTAAATTCAAAGACACGACATTTAACCCTCTGGCTTATTAACAAGTCATCATCATGATAAAGTGGGTTGCTATACTATTGAAATACCTAGGACAACCTAGGATTCAGATACAGTCGTCGTTGTGTATCGAGATAACGTTCCGAAAACTTGAATGTTACGCTTTAACATGTCAATCAATTAAGTAATTCACCTCAAAAAGGTGTGTTTGCCGTTAACACTTTTTATACAACGAAAACAATCGAAAAATGTTACTCCATTATCCTTTTACAGGATATCAAAAATTGTGAGTGATATCCTCCACTTTGTTGGCAGTTTCAATAAAAACCCTATCGACTACTATCAGTACTTATTGTGTACACGACTATCAGTATTTATTGAAACATGACTTCCAAAATAAATAGCAATACTTCGAAATTTATAATATGTATAATTACAAACTAACCTACCTCTTGGTGAGATTTAAGATATGACAACACTGTACGAATTGCAACATTGGCAGCTGCTTCATTTGGGAAACCTAATATGCAAGTATACAAAAACTAAAATCAAGCATATTTCAGTAATTTAGATGACATTAAATAACAGCTGACAAAACATCAAGTCTGAGTATGGCAAGGGAAAGTGGTAACAACTTTGGAAACTTTTGAGCGCGAAAGCTGACGTGAATGAAAATATATATTTAATACATAACAAAACAGGGTAATAATTACCATCATCGAGGCTACGGATTCACTACTAGAAAACTCCATACATTATAAATAAAACTTTGATGAAACACGATATTGAAATAATGGAGATGTGTAGCTCAGGTGGATGATTAGAAGGACGACAAAAGCTTTGCAATTAAATCAACCAGCTCAGAGAACACGACTAATTCAAAATTAAACAGGATATATTAACATTAACCAGCTTATATCCCACTGGAAGTATAAGCATAATGTAGAAAATGCAAAAAAATGTCCCGAAGAAATTCCTTTTTTGTATGAAAAATCCTCCAAAAGAAAGCCATATTCACTTACAGTTAATTGAAAATTGCATTTACCCTGAAGAATCGACTAAATGGTACACATACAATAAATTTCAATGTTGTAAAAACACAACTCAACAATGAAGCCCCGTAGAAATGGTACAATCACTTTTAGTTAGTTATTTCAATTAACCAGTACTGGGCTATGAGCCACACTTATTATATGAAGGCTGATAATACCACCCAGTTACCCAGGCTGAAGCAGGTGAAGAGGACTGAAAATCGAGTGCTTATGCCAGTGAACCACATTTCCACCAATTAGTTTTCACCTGGTCTAAATTCACATGCTCTACAATCAGAGGATATGAGTATCATAACGTGAAAAAGAAAAAGTTGAACACTACGACAGAATTTACTATTATATTAAATATATTTGTTTAATAAAGAACAGTGATACAGTACTATTTATTAGTAATATTCTGAACACAATTTACTGCTCAAAATCATACCGATGTAGTCACACAATTTTCAATATCTCGCTTCTGTAATTTTATTTTCTTGTATTTTTTAGTTCAGCGGTACTAGAGCTTAAAATATCTCTTAAATCTGTGTAGAATGAGAATAAATTACAGTAAATTGTATCTGAAAAGTCAACTAGTACACAATAATGTATCACTGTATGATATCAAACAAATATATCCGATATGGAAGTTCTTTGATATTTTATTGAAAAAGGATGTAAAGATAATATTTACATACGTAAAACTGACAGTTATTCTATGTGGAATAGATTTATACCCTTCAATAATGACCGACCTTTGTGATAAACAGGTGTGATAACTTCTGAATACACACAAAACCTTTTAGTCAAGATTAAATACTTTGAAACTACCGAAGTGTGACGTTGTTAGTACAACCAGCCAAAAATAACAAGCTTACCGTAAATGCCGGTAGAAATGCAAGGGAATGCAATAGATTTAATGTTATTCTCAGAGCACAACTCTAGTGCCTTTTTGTACGTTGATTCTAATGCTGCATCATTTCGTCCAACTGGACCGACACAATGAATAACATCTAGAGATAAGCGAAGTAATGAATTAAAATGTTCTTAATTCTAGGAAATACAAGTAATAACAGTAACAATTATGATAGTTCTTACTTATGATGGTATAAAAAATTAGTTCTTCCTGATGGACAAATGGGAGTAAAAATAACAGAAAACCAAAAGAAAGAAAACAACTTAGAGAAACTATTAGTTTGCAAGCGGAGTTAACAAAAATGCGAAGTGACAAAGGACAAGTACATGACCTACTGTCACTTTATCCCAGTTTATAAACATGTGCCAATGCTAATTGTTAAAGCGAAGAAATTTGGAAACACAAGTATGCAGAAAACCAACACACACAGAGATCAAATACTCAAATATAACAGCAATAACCAAATGACTCACAAAAGAAACTGTGCGCAGACATTCTTTAAAAGTGTTCACACACATTGTAGTATTTCAGTGTTCAAGAGAACAGAATAGAAATACCCACTAACTGTCTTCAAGAAAAATGAATGCCCATACAATTTCATCAAAAAATGTTTAAGCTCACATCGAAGCACAAACAAGAAACTATCCTCAAACACCATAAGGAAATTTATTCTACCATATATAAAGAATATCTCTGAAATAACAACTAGAATACTAAAACCATTAGAAACATACATAACGCACAAGCCAACACAATCACTCCATTCAATATTGTGCAGACCAAAGGACCCAACAGCGAAAGAAGGTAAGACCAATACCATTTACAAAATAAGTTGCATAAAATGAGATAAACACTAAACTGGTAGAAACAGGCATTCCTTTCGAATCAGAATCCAAGAAAGTAAACTACCTGTGAAAAGACACGATATGTATTCTTTCATATCGATGAATGTAGACAATTACGGCCACCGATTTGATTGGGATAATGTAGAAACCTTCAATAAATATAACACCAAAAATGTCAGGGACTTTCTAGAAGCCTGGTACTCACTCAGATGAATCAGCGATTAACAAGCACATTACTATAGATCAAATTTATTAATTAATAAAAAATAATTCACACGACAAGAAATTTCAAATCAATGAAAATGATAACTGAAGATGTAAACTAACAACCGATCACGACAACAGTTGTCAGGAGATACAAGCATATCATTCATGGAGAATTCAAACAAGTTCCCATTATATTAAAGCCTGAGCTGAAAATGTCTAAAAGTACAATGAAAGCTTCGCAATTAAATCAACCAGCTCAAAGAACACAGCCAAACTAATCTCCGTTAGTGAATATAAAATTAAACCATGGTGTTTAGATTAATGGTACAGCTGTCCAATTTTCAAGAGTTTTAGATAGTTAGCATTATTAAATTTTTTCCCGGTCCTGCAAACAATTTTCTCCACAGAAATTCAGTGCCCCTAAATTGGAATGAGTAGAGCGGGACTCGAATGCGCGGCTCAATGACTGAAAGTCAACTGACAAAGCCAATGAGCCGCACCTCTGACTGACTGGTTTCAACACAGAACTTTGCACAGATGTGCAGCAGTTAGAGTCGCCACACTTTACTCAGCAGACAAAGCAAGAGAAGAAAGAAAAAGAGATTCAAAACAGAGACAATAAACAGAGATATGAGGCAAAAAGAATGGTAACATGGAAGAACAATATAGTTTTATTGGCTATTATAAGTCACGAGGAGTGGATGCATCTGCGCCAGTCATTGAGAACGATTTTGAGCCATATCACCAGTTGTCTCCAGCCATTGGTTTTTACCGTCCTCAGGACCCCAACCAGGAAGTCTACACCTTCCCACTTTGGGCAGCCACATCTACTACAACGAAAACTAAATCAAATTTTCCCATAGTGGAAATACTAAAACAAGGAGCAAATAGTAAACAAGGTACTGAAAGGATTTTAATGAAACTGTCGTGAGAGATTTCTAGGAAGTTAAACAAGATTCTTAGTCAGCAATAAATACTTCACTGGTTACTGAAGAACATGTTACAAGATAGATCTCCATGATGAAAATTATATTACACCTTGAAAAGCTGCATATCGTCTAGTTCACTGAAGTTTGATATTATAAACTACTACACAGAAACAACCTTGGATATGCTTCAAATATTTATAACAAAAAAATTGTCTTACATTTAGAAGGTAAGTTGAAACCCGAAGTCAATTTCGCATCTCCAGTTGGACAACCACCAAGTTTCTGACAGGCTGACAACAACTGGGATCCAGCTGCCTTATGAATAGCTCCATCAACTCCTCCGCCACCTTTTAGTTGGGAATTCGCAGCATTCGCAATAGCATCAATTTGAAGATGTGTTATGTCTCCACGCCACAAACTTATGCGAGACCCCAAACTTGAAGCTAAATTACTTTTGTCTTTAGATAAAAAAGTGTATTTTTAAGTTGAAAAGTACTTTTGTTCTTTAAAATGTTTTACATTGACTTTTACAGCAACTTGTGACCCTTATATCTTGGTAATTTAAAATTATTACAGACTCAGCAAAGTTATATTTTAAATCTCATTAAAAGTGAAACAGAGTGGCTTAGCAAGTGCTTTAAATTCTTGAAACATCTGTACAGACAGCTGAAATTCATTGTACTTTTAACTAAGAAAAAATCTTTGCGGTTACTGACAGAAAATCAGATTAAAGTTCACTGTCTAACCTTGAGACGATAAATATTATAGGCTTAAAATATGTATTCGTGATATGCTTTAAATCTACAGCGAGAGAAAATCAGTTTTGAGTTATAAATTCATTGTCTTACGATTTGAATATAACTACACCGACATTCTTCAGTTTATGCGAAGTCAACGATAATGCCCAGCCTCATAAACTCTTGACTTATTTAGCAAGAATTCAGTAACGATACTTTTTCATGGGACTTAATTATCGGTTGTTTCTCACCGATTCCGAAGTACATTTAAGCCAACAGTTAGTAATAAAGGTTGCCCAATTTTTCTGAGTAGACCTTCCATATACACATCTGAAGTTGAGCAATAACTAACTCGATGTACATAAACAAGACAAATTCAGCGTCATCATTATATGAGATCTCCACCCTACATATCTCCAAAACGGCTCAAGTCAATTGCCATATTTTTATATACGACTTTTCAGATCATCCAAAACGTCTCGCACACTGACTGAGGAACATACATGGTTTTATCTTAACTATGGAGTACTTTAAATGGTTGTATTATAAGTTGACAGTCATTATGCTTTTGTTTCCCTGTTCTGAACTACTGAGTAAAATTGTCTACTCAGTATAGTTATCTGTGTATTGCTTACTCCAGTTCACTTCTCAGAATCATTAGAAATACTGTCGAAGTAATTCAGCTTCGGTAGAACCCTATGAACAGTAGAAAATACTGCAGAAAGTTAATTAGCTAGTATTAGTATTAGTTAGCTAGTGACGAATTTCTAGTGACATCGCAGTTTACAAAACAAGTAAAATCACAATCATCTCAAAGGCAAGTAGAAGGACATTTGCAAGTGAAAATACTGTCTTTGCACTAGAAATTTCCGACACTTCTACGGGACAGTATCGTCAACTTTCAGAAAGTTATATGAAGAAGAAGAAACTAGTTTGATATCAGACCATGAGACAAAATTACATGACATTATGGCAAACTTGCAAATTTTATGGGAATAAACTATAAATGATAAGCAACGGAAAAACCGAATGAAGTTGCCCAATTCTCCGCACAAGATATCAGATAGGTATGGACTATATATATATATATATATATATATATTGTAACAAGTGCATAGGAGGTTGAAATTTGGAATAAACTTTGGAAACCCATAACTACTATGTTTCTTCTGTTGTATTTACGTGTAAACACATTAGATTGAAAAGTACGCATAAGCACTCCAGTTGCACAGTGGAAATAAGTTGTTTCCCTGAACACTGAGTTCTTATGCCAAAGATTAATTACTGGTACTCAGTACTTACGTTACTGCAAAAAGACAACATTCAAATCGGTACTATGTGGGAAGAAAAATAACTTGCTGTGAGACCGTGAGTACCATTTTCATTTTACGAACCAGCAGACTGGTTGAAATGAAGTTCAGTTACAAAGCCTCTGGTGAAGTGAGCTTAAGCAGCAACAACTTCGAGCATAAATTGCTAAAACCAACTCCGGGTGTATTAAACACACTGACAACGCAGTCGAATTTCGCATCAGCATGAGAAAAGTTACAGCTGACATTTCCTTTGGGTCTACTGCAGAAATTTCGGGCCAAAATACCTTAAGGTGCATTGCAGAAAGTGTGACAGTTCGCCCCTAAGTTGGGGCGCCACTCCGCAATGGACCCAAAGTTTCTGCAGTGAACCTTAAGTATGCCACGAATATTCTACAGAGGACCCACGTGTCCTAAACATGGAATGCATCTCGTCCAAAAATATAGGTGAGTGGTATATTTTGTTAAGCGGAGTGAAGAACCGCGTTTACCCATGTTTGGTTTACATTTCATCAATTCAAAAGTGCCCTTAAATCCAACATCTCAAATGTATTACTCGAAATTCTAAGACTCCGTTAGCATTGACTTTGAGCACATTGCAGAAGTGAACATTTACCTAGGCACATGTAATAGAGAACCTCCCAGTCCGAGAATGCACATGGGAAAAACGGGCGAAACGTGAGATAAATGGACAGTTTTAGTAGTTTGGGACGTGGACATAAAGCACTTACCCACGTGGGTAAAATATAACACAAAATACTCACTCCTCTCTTTTTTCCGCATGCTGAATAAGATTTTCACACCTCAACTTTTCCCATTTTACTCACTTCTCTTCCCAAATTTCCCACGCTTTCACCCATTTTCCCCACGTCATTTCTCATAATAGCCCACTTTCGAAATGTAAGTTTCCGTAGGTTTTTACCACTTTTCTCATGTCCATTAAAAAGCCTCCGACTGGGCTTTACGAACCTTTAGCAAATGAAATCCAAGTAGGTATGTCTGCCAATGTTTTAAGCATCTTACGGCGACTACGGAAATTGATAGGGGTACACACCGCTTCAAAGCGCGGCTCAGCAGCTGAAGGTCACTTATGCGCATTGTGATTGGCAGATTTTCATCTGCACAAATACCGAGGCCAACATGTAGACATATAGACATTGAACTTTTCAACTTAAGGGTATAGATTAATAAATACGTATATGGTAACGCTAAACTATAGCAGCGCAAAACGAAACTATCTAATAAACGGATTAATGACCTTGACGGATACGTTTACAGAAATTGGTTTAACCTGACTATTAGGACTCCTGTGAGAAACTGGGAGGTTTTCTTGCAACATACACAAGGATATTATCCTATGTAACTGCTATTAACATTACATAACTTCTATATAGACGTTTATCACAAATTACGCACATCTACTTCTGGCGCATCCGACTGGTCGCCACAGTTAGTTTCATTTTGGGCCGCTATAGTTTAACGTCACCAATATCCAATATGTGGTAGGAGTAAATAATAGATGCCGCAGCCAAATGGTTTCGATTCTTGAACCAACCAGTCAGATAGAATGCTTTTCATAGTCCTCGCTGTAGGTTTTTGCTGGCTCATTGCCCAAGGTTAATTTTAAGCACCAGTTTTTACCAGTGGAGCGCGACCCCGCCAGTGACTTTGAAACGCTCAGTGAGCAAGTTAGAGAAACCTGGAAGATAATAGTGTAATCACCGATAGAATATGCCTAATTGAGTGTCATATGATTGAATGGAATATCTGACAAGCTTCTGGTTAGGTTTGGGAGAGTTTAGGTTAACGTTTAGGCTTATTAGCCAAGACTCCTACCAGTCACAAATGGGATCACGTATTGCTGAGATTGAGGCCAAGCTCTCACGACTCAGAGTGCGCGATAGCATCAACCGGGATGCATCCAGTGTGAATTATGTTGAAGTCTTCAGGCAAATGGCAGTTGGACAGCGACGCCGTCATGTCTTCCTTTGAGATGAGGCTTCCCGACGAGGAATACCGCCAACCTTGGCACTTTGGTTGACTTCAGTGTCCAAAGTTCCGTTGGCCGCATCATGAATGTTTTGATGGATCCAATATACAGAACACAATTTTCAAGGGTGGCTACCAAGGAGAAGAGTTGATTCACGAAGACGTGTGACCTTGTGATCCGTAAGTGAATTTTGTTTCGATTGTAGTCTTGAGGAACTATTAAAAGTTTCCATAGGCAGGGTGGTGCTGATAGACGTAGCACAGTGGGAGCTGTTATGCTTTCCATTCAACGGTGGTTTCACAACAGTTGTAACAGATTGAAGGTGAAAATAAGGAAACGACGACGTTCCCCTTCGGTATTTCTCAATTTTTCCGCCAATTTTCAGTTCGCCGTCAAACAGAACAGGAAGAACAGGCCAGGTGCAGAAAGTACACGACTCGACGCTTCTGGTGATTTATATGGTGTTTGGCTCGTATGAAATATCAAAATATTGTACAGTCATTTTGCATGGATATTAGATGTGTTTCATTAGATTCAACTACTTTCTAATATCGTAAGTCTTTGGAGTGATACCAGTATGTTGTTTGTTGCGGCAAGCTATGTACAAAATAGATATGTATTTGTGGCTATCAACTAAGGGTTAACTGCTTAACCATAGGCGTGTAGTTGACATTCACGGTCAGTTGCAGAAACTTAGGGGTGGAGTTCGGTCGCATTGCAGAATTTTGACGTAGTTTTTTCCTCTGAGCTGGATGGTTTATTTGCGAAGCTCTCACTACTCTGCTAGGCTACATCTTCAGCGCATACTTCATTTGAAGCGAGCTTTTAGATTTCTCCACTAGTTTATCAGTTATCTCTCCTGGTGACCTGAAACGCGATTGGTTGTTAATGTGTGTTTTCACACCCTTTAGGCTACTTGTGTTGGTACCGATTGTCTCCCTCAGTGGAACTTTGACCCTTTGTGTATGAGATTTCCTTCCCATCGACTGGTGAGTCTTGTCCATGTAGATGTGTCTATTGACTGAGGATTCACTGGAATACCAGGCTTCTAAAACTTCTCCAACATTCTCGGTGTTGCTTCTGTCTGATATTTGAGCGTTGTCCCAGTCGACTTGATGTTCGTGGTTGTCTGTATGTAGTGATATGAGGGAGTGGATATCATGTCTTTTTGTGGCTAGTTTATGTTCATGGATGCGAAGACGAAGGGGACGTCCACTTTGGCCAATGCAGTGTTTTTTGCAGTCGTTACTACTTATTTTGTAGATGATGTTGGTTTTATCTTCTTTCGCTGCTGGGTCTTTTGGTTGGTTTGTGCATGACGTCAATTCCTGAAGGTCTGAAGAGTCTTGCAGTGATTTCTGAGATGTCTTTTGCAAATGATAGGTAATTTTCTTAGTGTTTTCCCTGGGGGCTTTTGATTTGGTTGGCTTGGGGGTAGATGTATCCTGAAGAAGTTCCGTGGATATCAATTCCTTTAGAAGACGTCCATGAGATACCTTTATTCAATTTTCCTCTAGGTGTCAGTGCTGCAATGAGTCCTAACACTCTTGAATAATGTTTGCATACAACTCCTTTTGTGTGTTATTGAATTGTTGCCATTGTAAGTGAGTATTTGTTCTGTGTGAGTTGATTTTCTACAAACCTGAGTTTCTAATTTTCCTATAGTTGTTCACTTGACCAAGACGTCCGAAAATTGGATTTTGTTCTCGGAATTTTCTTCTTTTGTGAATTTGATGTCGTTGAAGACTCCAGGTCAAGGAAACGATCAATATTAACACAAGTGGTGCTCCAAAATGGTGGCATTACCTCCAGCTTTCTGCAGCTCACCCTACGTCTGCCCCAGAAACTTCTTCAGTGGACCCGAAGATTTTTACTAACTGAGCTCTTTTTAATCCATCCGATGGCTTAATACAGACCTACACTACGGCGTATTTTATGATTATTCCCAAGAATGGGACCGAAATGGCTTCCAAAATAGTCTCATAACCTAACAAGACTCCAAGTAGTGGAAAATAAATTACGACAATCATTAAGAATTACGATAGTGTGGTGGTAGATACTTCTCCAAAACTATCAGTTTACATTATATTTCGCACAATATTGGATGCCCACCTTCACTGTCTAAGTTGACTCGTTGGGCTGAAGGCTCTTGGTCAAGCATCCATGCCATTTGGCTCACTTTTGCGTCACGTTCAGTCGTTCGTCCAAGATCCCTAGCTGGATAAGCATTTGTCACACTACGATTTCGACCCTCAAACATATCTCATACTTCTAAATATACCTATTAGTTCATGAGGAAATACACAGTTTTTATTCGGCAAAGAAATATTTCCTTTTAGCGACTTCATTTTCAAGCTGTACAGTCGTATTCATTTTGCGGAAAAAGGCATTAAGTGGCAACAGAAATAATGTTTTAGGCAACAATTGATCTACAGTTTTGAAATATTTATATCAGTTCATTCATTTAATATTCTTTAAAAGTTCTGTAACTCATACACTTCAACTCTGTCCTTTTGACACCTCATTTTAATTATCTTTATCCATATCATATGTGTATTGACTGCGCAATTTCTAGCGCCACTTGATGACTTTTCCGTAATATAAATACGGGTGTACAGCTTGAAAATGAAGTCGCTAGAAAGAGATGTTTCCTTGCTGAACAAAAGCTGTGCATATTTCATATTTCCGTCGGCCTACCTGGTGTTTGGAATTTGTCTAAGCGAGAAAACTACTACATGAGTTAAAATATGAGAACCTGCTTTTAAAAACATCATACTTCGCATAAAGATTAATATATGATCTCTTAGAGCAGTCATAGCGATTATTTTGATTTGACAGTACATTAATCAATTTTCCAGTGAATTCATCATCACTTGTTACGCATAATATTGCATCTTCAAAAATAAAAGTTGTACTTTATGCACCGTTTTTCATTTTGTGCTAATCAGAACTTTTGCGATGTATTGGACTGCTTTCTTTGTAAGCGAAAGGGTAATCTCTTAGCGATTGCCTCAAACACAGAACTCGAGTTCAATTCGTCGACACAATTAAGAGAAACGAGAGTACTTCTATTATTATTATATTATTATTGTTTCCTTTAATTCCTAGAGGAACATAGGGCTTCAGCCGTGCGTCTCCATTGCGTTCGGTTCTCTGCTAGAGTCTTCACCTGGCTCCAAGTCTGCCCACACGTTTTCATCTCCTCTTCACATGACCTCCTCCAAGTCACCCTTGCACTGACGACCAACTCGCCGCTTCCCTTTCGGGTTCCACTCGAGCAATGGCTTGTCTAGTGATGTCACTTGATGGTTTCCTCAGAGTATGGCCAATCCATCTCCATTTCTTCCTGCCTATTTGTTGCACAATCGGTTCCTGCGTTGGTTCGCTCCCAGAGATCTCTGTTGCTGATCTTTTCTGGCCATCTGATCTTGAGTATTGAGCGAAGACAACTGTTAATGAAGGTCTGTAGTTTGTTTGAGATGCTCTTTATGACGCGCAGTGCAAGTCTCTGATCCGTATAGTGAGTAGCACTGACTGACTTCACATTGGAGTTGAAAATCCGGATCTTATTTTCATTTTCATGCTGAGTGCTGTTGACCTCCACACAGACTTGAGAGTAGTGAAAGCTTGTTTTGCTTTTCCGATTCTTGCTTTGATATCCTCGTCAGTTCCGCCTGTAGTTGAAACGATGCTTCCCAGGTAGGTAAAAGAGGTTGTTTCTTTCAGGTTCCTCCCATTTATGCTGATCGTTGTCTGTTGTTGTTGTTCTTGCCCAGGAATCTTCATCACCTCTGTTTTCTCTATGTTCACCTGAAGTCCTATCTTTGATGCTTCTTCTGCCAACTTGTTGCTTTTCGCTTGCATATCTTCCAGTTTGTGGGAAATCAGACATATATCATCGGCGAAGTCCAGATCCTCCAAGTTTTTTGTGTGAGTCCATTTTATGCCTGTTTCCTCATTGCCCGCTGTTTGTCGCATTATCCAGTCTACCGCAATCAGGAAAATCATTGGAGATAGTAGGCAGCCAGCTTGTCTTACTCCTGTCCTCACTTCGAAGGATTCCGTAAGTTTCCCGTTGTGGATTACTTGGCATGCAGCATTGTC